CGACCTGCAGCAGAACAGGCGTCTGCCAATTATACCACAACTGTTGGGGCGCCGCCAGGGTCGCACCAGGCGACAGCATGACATTTCTATGACGTCATCAGGCGGAAATCGAGGGACCACTTTTTTGAACCCGGTAAACACACCAGTCGGAGACGCGTTCCAGGCACCATAGCTGTAGTAAATCCGACAACGACTTTCCTATACGCTCCAACCAGCACAAGACAGAGTAATTTTCCTGTTTCCATGTCGATGGTTTTAAAGGACACATGCAAAGGAAAAAAACATTTTTTTTTAGACAGCTTAGATGGAAAAAGGATGTCATAAAACGATTTTACAACGAAGAAACAAAATTCTTAGAGCTATATTTACGGCGCTATACGAATTTGTAGTTGGCGCTCGCGGGAGCCGCCACTGGTCACGTGGTAGGCCCGCGCGCCGCTGCGCTGCGTCGCCGCCGCACGCTGAGCGTTGTGCGAACGCCGCTTCAACGCGTTTCTCCACGCCGCCGTCGCCGCCGCCGCACAAGTTTGTCTGCTTCGGGGCGCCGCCGCCGTCGTCTGACCGGCGCACAGGTCTATCACGTCTGCTTGCGTTTTTTCAGAAGTTTCCTTTGGGCTCTAAAAGTTACTTATTTGTCTTGGTTTTTTGTTATACTTCAAACAAAGATGAATAAGTTACTTTTAGAGGCCATAGGAAGCTTCCGAAAGAGCGCAAGCACCACGTGATAAATAAAGACCAGTCACGTGATAAATACAGACCACTTTTCCGCGGTGCCCGCGGGCGCCAACTACAAATTCGTTTTGCGCCGTAAATATAGCTCTAAAAATTTTTTTTCTTCGTTGTAAAATCGTTTTATGGCGTCCTTTTTCCATTTAAGCCGTTTAAAAAAAATGTTTTTTTCCTTTGCATGTGTCCTTTAACATATGAACGTGCGGCCCGCGAGCGGTGATCTGAGTACGTCGCCATCTTTGTGACTGCAGACAGCCGTACTTGCACGGGCCGCACTACTCGGCGGATCTTTCACTGGTTCAATGAAGGCCGGTTCAGACAGTTGCGTTTGAGTGCGTTTGACTGCGTACTGTTGAGAACCGAAAGCGAGTCACCGGCACATCTGTGCATCATATGAAGCGTGGAATCAAATTCAAGGAATCATCTTGGTACGCGATATAAGCAGCAGGGATGTCCTGGTTTCTCGCAGCCGCAACGCAGTCAAACGCAACTGTCTGAACCAGGCTTGACACCGCACTTCGCAGCGCGAGTACGGTGTCGTGCGTGATGGTGGGCTGCCACGTCATGACGCAGTGGAAGAATGGAAAAGGAGAGCAGGGTTTTTTGAAAAAAAAAAGACGAGTACAATCTGACGATTGCGAAAAGATTAGCCGCCTCGGTGGCTCCGAGGCGAGAGCGCCGGCCTACGGATCCCCAGGTGGCGGGTTCGAATCCCGACCGAGGTGCCCGCAATACGACGGAGGCTTGTTGTGGAGAAGGCGCCGTGTAACCGAGCTTTCGGTTGCACGTCAAAAGATCCCCAGGTGGTCCAAATTAATCCTCAGTCCTCCGCTGGGGCGTGCCAGGTGCCCGTCGTAGGTTTGGCACGTAAAGCCCCCATATTTGACTTTCGAAAAGACCCGGGCGCTCCGTCACTCTCCTCAAGAACGCGAATGGCTCGTGTGCACAAACGAGAAAGCTATCGACAGAAAGAGACTAGAAGAATACTCCATCGTCGCGTTGCGCAATGAGTGCACACTGCGGTAGCGCGACAGTGTCGCTCGGGCGTGCACGTGCTACAAAGATGGCGCCGTACTCGCTATGTGATTCTCGCCAACTTCCGGCTCCAACTTTGTGTTTGGCAAGTTTAGGGCCCGCGAAAGGTGGCGGCGCAAACTGCGCGCGCGGTAAAAGCATCTACGGCGAGCGAGTGTTTCAAAATGCGTCTTTGGCACATCGGAACGTCAAAAGGGGCGCAGGTCATCATCTGTTTGGGTCGAGGGGTAAACAAAAGCACGCGCATCTCGGGTGAACAAAGGCGCGAGATGGATACACAAAGAGCAGCTTGCATGCCTGTTTTTTCCTCTCGTTCGACGCTGCGGCAAAAGTGCATCGTCAACCCCGGCCGAAAAAATGCCGAGTCCCTGGGCTGTGGACGGGCATGTCCGGTGTCTCATATTTCGAGAGAGCTACTGCACACGCTCAGAACGCGCCTTCCACACTTCAGTAGGCAACGACGGCAGCGCGGGAAAGGCGATTATTGGAAAGGTCTATGAAATCTGGCACACAGATGATTTGTCAGCACGAAAAGTTCGTTACAGACAGGTTTGCCCCCCCCCCCCCCCCCCCAAAAAAAAAAAAAAAAAATTTGAGCTTGCGATTTTTAGTGCTGGCATAGTATACTTGAACATTTTACTTGAGGTACATCTTCAAGTAGGTTTAGAAAACTTTTACTTGAAGTACATTGTTTTTTTTAGTACTTTTTTTTAGGAAAGTACACTTTTTGATTTTGAAGTACATTCCCCAGATTTGGTCTCATTAAATTTGTATCGCAAAATGATGCTTTGTCAGCTCTGAAGGAAAACTGAAAGGGTTCTACTCTCAACGGGAACGCGAGCTGACAACGCTTCTCTCGGCGTTTGTTCTGGGGGCGGCTTCCCGTAGCTTTGCGAATTTTCGCTACTTCTCGCTCGGTCAACGCGAGCGAGGAGCTTAAAAATATCGGGAGAGGACAATCAATCATATATAATGTAACACATGTGATTGTGGTGCGGAAAAATGATGGAGCTTTCGAGTCGAAGGAAAAGACAACGGAGGAGAACGCCTCAATGTTTTGAACCGTTCTCTGTTGTATTTTTCTTCGACTGAAAAGTTTATTAATTTTTGCGCACCGTAGTTTCAGGTGTCAAATTATGATTAATTACGATGAGTGTCCAGCTCGCCGTGGACACTCATTGTTTTTTTTTTTTCGTTAAGGAGAGGACACTTCTCTACGAGAGGATTGCTTGAGGAAGCTACAGGGCTGACGTCGTGCTCTCTTTTAGAAAGTTTAATTGCCTTGGGTGAAACAAGCCAGTACAAGCGGCGCCAGATCCAGAAGTCGGGGGCAATGCATACCAGTTAAAAAATCACTGTATAGGGAAATAAAAAGGCATCATGAAAGATTGAGTTAAGATGTACTTCTACTTTACTTTCAATGTATATTATGTTTATAGTACTTCAACTACATTGCACCCGGTGTACTTACTACTTTACTTGAAGTACATCACCTCTCATTTACTGTGTACTTCAAGTACTTTTTAGGTGTACTTTACCTAATACTGGCGCTTTCAGCCTACTGGAGCTCTTCAAGATGTGAGCGCAGTGACCCACCTTGCTTGGAGGTTGGCTGCGGCGGTGATGCGTTCTCTCCACAGCAGTTTTAGTGTCGCCTCGCGCCCGTCTGGGCGCAAACTCGCAGCGTCAGTGCGTGCCACCGTGCTCTGCGTGTTAAGGCCCCTCCGTGGCTTGAGCAATAAAACCTCGTAAACGCTCCTTGACGGTCTCGCTGTCACTAAAAGCCCCGGATGAATAACCACTTCTGCCCGTCGCCGCGTATGAAAGACATCGTTGAGGCCTCAATTCCGGAGTGATTGGGCTAATAAAAGGAAGATGCCTCGTGTGGCGGCCTGGAGACGTTGGTGTACCATGGTACGGCAGGTAAGGTTGGGAGATCAAAATATTTAAAAAGGTGCATTACGTCGTGCTGGAACCATATGCCTCCCTGTCTTTTCCTTGGTTTCTGTGTTGTGTGTGTCTCACGAAAAAATGTGAACCAAGTGCACACTGACGAAAAAGGCTATTACCGTGGCAGTGGCCAGGGTGTTTTTGAACTCGCAGTACCTCGCGAGCGTGAATGCTGGGCTTCGGCGTCGCTATTTTGCGTCACTTGTGTCTCCGGATTGTTCGACAGAATGTGTTTTGCGAATACGGTGGGTATTGTTTGCTCGGTTGTTCTAGTTGAAGACCATCTTTGCTCAAGATATGCTAAATAAAATCGGGCCATGAGGTTTCGGCGTCATCGGCCACTACGTCATGTTCTCACCTGCGTTCATAGATTCAAATTTTATGCCGTAACATTCCGATTGAACGCCCACCGACAGCGAAAAGATGAAAGAAAAAAGAAGAAAAAAAGGAGGTGGACGATTTTTCGGTACGAGGCGTTCGTTCGGGATTTTGCTGCAAATCATTATCTTCTTTGTTTATCTATCAATAAAGCACCTTAGGACTTCCATCTTACGCGATGCCGCCGTTGATATCATCCCAAGCAGCACAGAATTGGCCAGTGATCGGCCAATGGCAATGGTCCTTGGCCAATTGGCCAGACATTGGTCAGAGACTGGCCTTTATCTGGCCATTGGTCACTGGCCATCAGCCATCGGCCAAGCATTGGCCAATGAATGACCACTGGCCACGGGCCAAAAGACCATCACCAGACATTGGCCATTGCTTGGCCAAAATCCGTGCTGCTTGGGATTCTAGAAAACTCTTTGTCACGGTAATAAATTTGCGTGCTTGTGCGGTGTGAGATGAAGACCGGCATATAGCGCGTGCCCCGGATGTCCGCTGCTGCCGAATGGGACACCGTTTCCGTGGTCACACATCCACGATGGACGACAAATCTGATATTGAGAAAGTAATCTAATCGGCCGGTGCAAGCTATGTCTAGTTCCATTGCTTGAGGCTATCTTCTACGTTATTGCTCATGCCCTTATTCTTTGGTGCGGATGTTTTCGTACTCTAATAAACATATTTTCTATGTTGACGCCGCCTGACTGACGAGGCATCGAAACGTTGGGACACTAGAATGGTTATCGTCTTTGTAGAAAACGAAAGCTATGGGTCTCCCTCAAAGTGCAGAAGACGCAAGGTTTTCCGATTCTCCCCGCTGTCCCTTAGAAGATTCTGCTCGTGTCTTCGGAGGAATGCCCTAAACTCGCGATTCTGAGCGCTGTTGCTGTTGTCTTTTCAAGGTTCCGGGCTCCAGGACATTCTGTTCAGCTCCTCCCTGAGCACGCGCGAGAAGAAGAGGCAAGGCCACATCTACGAGCTCCTGTCCACGGAAGAGAACTACCTGAAGGACCTGACCCTAGTCAAGGAGGTGAGAGCAGCCTCGTGTGCGCGCTTCTTGCAGGAAGACCTTCGCGAAGGGGAAACTCCGGGCCGTCCAGTGTTGTCTGCGGATTCCGCGTATGTGGCTCGTGTACACACGTACGTCGCGGCTCGCTAAATTTAGTGGGAAATCACAGTGTCGTGGCATTTTTGCGTCACAGTGTCACATGACGTCATTTCACGTCGTCAGAATTTTTCGCTAAATTTAGCGGTGAAAATTGCTGGATTTTGCGGAAATTTAGTGTCATGTGACGACATGGTGCCACTTGACTTCACAGTGTGGCATGAGTGCTCTTCGCTAAATTTGAACACGACAGTGTGCAGCAGTCTGCGACTGTGTGCAGTGTCTCGGCTGCCACCGCAGTTCGTTTGCGGAACCCGACGAGGAACTGGGAATTTTTTTGTCTTATTGAGCAAAGAGTTTGGACGCCACGTTTTCGTTTTTTTTTTTTTTTTTTTTTTTTACAGGTTTTTTACAGGCCAATGAAACAGTCCACTCTTCTAACGGACGATGAGGTTAAACTGATCTTCGTAAACTGGCCAGAGCTCATCATGTGCAACACCAAGATGCTCAAGTAAGTCGCAGAATTCCCGTCACTTGGAGAACATCGCGAGTTGTGTTTGGACGTTCGACACTCTCTTGTTTTGTTCCAGATCGTTTCGAGTACGACAGCGAATGAGCGAGAACGGCATCATAGAGATGATTGGAGACATCCTCTGTGAAAATGTAAGCAGCTCTTCTTTGTTGTTGTTTTTCTACGGCGTTTTTTTACATCACTTGTGGTTCGTATTCGTCCATATCTGAATACTACGGGTCTATAAAAAAAATAAGGAAAAAAGTGGCCTATGAAACGAGGTCTTAAACTTGAGGAATAATTTACTAGCAGTAATAACAGGATTTGGTGACGGTCTTTAATTACGAGCTGCCAAGTGTAGTCGTGTAGTTTCATGTAATATACAGTCCCACACAGCGTTGTTTACGACGTTTACACGCATTCCTTCGGACGGGTTCGAGTATGTCCATCCTGCGGATGATTGCTGGTTTTTCTCAAATAGAGAAGAGAAGTACCCGTATCACAGGAGGACGAATGCAAAAGTGTTTGAAGGGAAGCTCCGCCGAAGTTCTTACAGTTTTGCTTTTTTCGTTGTTTCCCGACCAGCTACCGTACCTTAACCCGTACGTGAGGTTCTGCAGCTGCCAGGTCCGATCCATGGCCTTCATTCAGCAGAAATCCGAAAGCGACCCCCGCTTCAAGTCCTTCACCAGGGTATGTAGTCAATCTTCCCGTAACTGTATTGTGCGTGCGTGCGTGCGTGCGTGCGTGCGTGCGTGCGTGCGTGCGTGCGTGTGTGTGTGCGTGCGTGCGTGCGTGCGTGCGTGCGTGTGTGCGTGTGCGTGTGTGTGTGTGTGTGTCTGTGTCCTTGGCTCGGTGATTCCAGTAGTGCAGGCTTTGTATTGGACGGCTCGGTTATTTTTTTATAGACGTCGATGGTGAAAACGTGGAAGAGGAAGACTTAAAACAGTGCCGAAGCTTATGAGCGATTGAATTACTATGTGTTGCGATTGTAAGCTTCGCTCTCGGGGTGCACGTAATGTAAGCACTTCAACAAATAAAAGTAGTCCGCAATCAATAACATATTGTGCAGAAGTATATGCCACCAGATTATATTTGGAGTCACATCTTTGCTGTGCTTTTGCTGAAGATATTTGATTTAAACGATAATAATCCCGGGAGAAGGGAGACAAGGGGGACGAAGGACATACATAAATCTCCAAACACAGTTAGATGACTGGTGCGCGCTTAAAAAAATCTGCCGGGTCCTGGTATCGAACCAGGGACCTCTGCATTCCCGCTGTACGCCTGCACGTGCACCCTGAGTGCCCTTCTCCGGGGATTATTATCGCTTGTTCTGTCCAGCTCGCCCGCACCGTCGCCTTAATTGCATTAGCATATTTGATTTGACGATCGGAGAAAAGCGGTTCTGGTGGGTCGTGGCGCATACCTTGTTCCTTGTATGGCGATTCCTAGGATTTCTGCAAGAACCCGAAGACCCGCGGCATGCCTTTCACCAGCTTCCTTCTGAAGCCAATGCAGAGGATGACCAAGTACCCACTCATGATTAAAAAGGTACGAGCTCTTCGACAGCCGCGTTCACTCGTTCCCTTCGTACGCGATCGTGATCATCGGGGACGATCCACGACTCAAAACCGAGACTAGAAAAAGGGGTGTATCTTAAAACGTCCAAATCGCATTTCACCATTTCTCGTTTCGCCCCAATCTCGTTTGGACTAGGGTGCCTACATGTTTCCGCGGCGGAAACATGTAAGCGCCCTAGTTTAGACCTTCTCGTCTGAACCTTCTCAAAACATCCATACCTGGTTTTTTTTTTTTTTGTTTTTTTTCTTCGTTTGGGTTTATTCGCATTTGGTCATGTTCGCACTAGGACCGAATGGCGCGTGGTACGTTTTCAGCTCTACATTGCCTCCAATGGCTCGTAACGTACGCTGCATGGCCTACTTTAAGAAAAAAAAAAAATAAAGCACGGCGGGGGGAAACCACTCCGAGTTCACCCTCCCGCGACCCGGGAAAAGAGGGACATACGAAGCCGTGCTTTGACGCAAAAGGGCAAATCGTTGTTTTATTGCCTAGCGCCTGCCACCACTGCCGGACAACCCAACGAGCGGGTTCTGAGTTCTGACCTTCGCTGCATGTTTCAAGAGCAGAAGGGACGTATAGTGAACAATCAGCCAAACCGCGGGACTAAAGCACGTGTGCGTGTGTATGTGAGCGCTTGCGTATAGGCGAGTTGTCTGTTAGTGGCGAGGAGCGGACTTGAAGACGCTTCTTCGGGGTAATGGCGTTGACCCAGCCAAAACACCGACACCTCAAAGTGCCCGCATTTGATTTTTTTTTTTTTTTGTTATTTTTTCCTTGGAGGATGAAACGCGAAGGATGTAATGAGAAGGGATCAAACACGGCGGTCCCAACCAAGAAGGACGTTTTGAGAATGGTCCTTTTGAGAAAGTCGAAACGAGAACGGGCCCAAATTAGAACCCCATATATAAAACAAAAGACCACAGTCCCGGATAATTTGACATTATTGTTGCACTGTACTAATCTACGTGCTTTCGCTTCTTTAATTTAAAACGAAATGTGTTTTGACTTTGGATGGATATTGTTATTCGCGGCGACTCTATGCTGCAGAAAAGAAGGTATCCTGCGAAAGTCCCGTCGTGCACCGGTGCGTGGGGTACAGAGCAGGGCGGAAATGAAAAGAGCTAAATAAAGGTCAAGAAGGAAATCGGACGATAAGAGGTCGCGTACTGTTCTTGATCAAAAGCTACCGAAATGAATGGGTATATTTTTTCCCTGCCATACGTAATGACCGTGTATATCTGTTTTATACGGTAGTGTCTTGCACCTCTTTAGCAAGCAAAACACAATTCGCATAATATTAAGCACAATTTTTATGGTGGTCTACTCGACAGCAGTGATTTCATTTATCATTAGCCAAGCACGTCGATGAGAGTGTTCCAATCACGTTTCTTCTTCGAAACGTGTATTTACACGTTTCGGACTTTGAACGTGTAAATAGAAATTCTACTTAATAAAGAAAAAAAAAATCGGTCACGTTTTTTTTTAGTTTTTTTTTTTTACATGCGGTGTTTAGTTGTTATTGAGATTTATTGAGCACGGTTTCCTTCGTTAATTACGCAGTTTTAGCTACTTTCATCACCCGCAAAGAACGTTTATAACGACCTCATTGAGCGGGCATCGTCATCTCGAGATCTGTTTACTGCTATCATGATCGAGGCAGTTGAGCTGTTCGTGAGCACACAAAATAAACAAATGACGATCGTGATAGAAGAAACATAAAAGGTCTTAGCAATGCTGGTTCCCCGCAACATATTGCCAAGACCCACGGAGATGACGGTTTCCGGTAAACGTGTGCACAAACGGCCCTTCAGATTCGCGAGTACACGGACCCGACGCACCACGACCGCGGCTACCTGGACGAGGCCCTGGAAAAAGCGGAACAGCTCTGCAACCAGATCAACGAAGCGGTCAAGGAGCGGGAGAACTCGGACCACCTGGAGTGGGCGCAGACGCATATCCAGTGCAACGGCATCTCGGAGGTACGAGCACGCCCGGACGCCGACCAGCGATAGGGCTTCCTTGGCCGTTGAAAAGTGTCAATGCAGAATTACGTTTTGACGGGGAGCTAACTCAGATTTTGCGCGCGTCCGTAGCGTGTGCGGCCGGGCGCAGCGAAAGTATACCAGGACTTCACCACCACCACCGAAAGTTTTCGCAAGCACTAACATGAACGAGAGAAAGACAACAGAAGTGCTTGACAAAAAATGCCTGACAAAAAAAAAAAAAATAAAGAGAGAGGGCGACGCATGCTTGGAAGGTTGAGAAGACGTCGGCGTTGGCTGCGTTCGTCAGGAAACGCAATTCTACATTGTTTAATATAAATAGATTACAGGTTTTTTTTTGTTTTTTTTTTTAGGTTGTTCTGGGTTTGTGAGGCAGTAGGAATGGACACGTAAAGATTTAGAGTGACAGGCTAAATGTCTGTTACATGATTAGATTTTATCGGAGCACACGCGTGCTCCGATAAAACTCGGATTACGTGAAAACGCCTGTAATTTAAACGAAGAATTCGTTCTTGTGCAGCGCGGGCGGCACTCGATTCTCGTTGCCGTTTTATGAACGATTACGAAAACGATCGGTGGGGAATGATGCCATCGTAACATTACATAGTATTGTTGGGTGCGTGCCTGACTGGTATATGTGTTCTTTTCAGAAACTCGTGTTCAATTCAACCACCAACGTCCTCGGCTCCCGAAAGTTTTTGCACTCGGGTTCTCTCACGAAAGTAAGTTTCTGCGTGGGACTTATTCTTCCGCTCTCGAGGCTGGGCCGGGTTCAGTGAGGGTACAGTGCCCTAGAAGTTGAGTAGTGGGCTCACCGCCCTTTCTCCCCCGTGTATTGCGCTGAAGCGGCCGATGTCGAAACCGACGGAGGCGCAGCACTAGATTACTCCTGAAGCATCTCCCGCCCGCTGCCCATTTGTCCGCCCGCTGCCCGCGATCGATAAGAGCGATAAGAGCCGATATAGTCGACCTGGTCAGGCCAATGCGCGCTGGAAAGTTTCAGGAGGAAACGCTTACAGCGCCACCGCCGCGTCAACATCAAACGCATCAGGCCGAGCCGTCCCGTGAGCCCACTACAACTCTCTAGGCCACTGTAGTGAGGGTATACTATTCGCAAAGGATGGGGGGGATACGGCTGAACCCTTTTAATCGGGCGGCGGTTTGCGCCACCTAGCCAATGCTTCTAAATCCAACAATGAACTAATATCCTATTCTGATTTAGTGGATAAGGGAAAATAATCATGCATCTACCATTCCCCACAACCTAAAGTTGCAATCCGTGGGAACCAACTCCATGGAAGGCGGCACCACCCAGCGGAGAAGACGTGAACTAGCAAAACGGGAAGGCTCACGACCATTCAAATCTGTAGCAAAAACTGGCGCCTCCTAGCGGCCATTGGGTGAAACTGGGGAACGGAGTGAAATGCGCGGGGTTGGTGTTGCTACTGAAATGACGCGGGGCGCGTTGATTCGCAGGTCAAAAGCGGGAAGGAGTTGGTGGGATTCCTTTTCAACGACTTTCTGCTGCTCTCGCAACCCGTTCGAGACCTGGGGAGAGTGACCAACGTATTCATGTCGGATCGAGCCATGAACACTGCCTACAGGCTATACAAGCAGGTGAGGCCGCGTCGTTTTTCGAGGTCCACTGCCAGGTTTCTACGTGATTCCGACGTCACGCTACTGCGGTGGCGCTGTTGTCGGCGCACGCGCAGTCGTTTTCCAGGAATGTGGTTTGTGCACACGCGCGCACTGACCACGCCTGGTGTGAGCAGACACGAACTGGTTTGTCAGCAACGTGTTGGTCCGTTATGGTTACGGCATGCGGTTTTCTATGTTTTACAAATATTGGGGACTTTTAGCAAACCGTTACCGTGTTCCGCGTACCGCACTACCGGAGCCCTTGAAGCATGCTTTTGAGCGCGCGCCAGCTATAGGCTCCGGTAGTTCGGTACGCGAAACACGGTAACGGTTTGCTAAAAGTCCCCAATTGTTTCGACTGATCGGTGGTCGCGCGGAATTCGCCCACCCTAGAAACAAAACAAAAAAAAAAAAAACTGTTTATTTTATTCTTATTGTTTATGACTGCCGCGACCCCGAATATCAGTTTCGGTTCCGCTTCATGCTCCTCGGCGGATGCGAGGTCCAATTCCGGCCCCCTCTGTGTAACCGACCACGTGACCTTCTCTCCCGTACGCAGCCTCTATTCCTGAACACGGTGATGGTGCAGGACACCTCGGACGGAAGTCCCACGGACGACACGTTCCAGATCTCGGCTCCCGATTACATCTGCGTGTTCCGAGCGGCCAACCCAAACGAAAAGTGCGCTACTTTTGTTGTTGTTGTCGTTGTTCTTCGTGGTTTTGCACGTACGCGTGTCCCCGCTATGCTGACAAGCACGTGCGGCGCGGGCACCGCAGTCGTGACGACAGCTCGTCGTGTTTTCCGGCGACGCGGATAATGGACGGATTCGGTCACGTGTGCACGGTCTGCTTTCTCTCGCACGCAGGTTGCTTTGGGTGAAGAAGATTAAAGACGCCGCGCACAACTACCGGAACACGGAAGCCAAGCAGATGAAGGTTTCGGGTACGTTCTTCGCCTGTGTGTACACAGAGATGCGTGCTGCTTCTATATATCTTCTCCACGCAGGCCGACCGCCTTCGTGCGAAGGCTCGATGGCCACTGGAATTGGCTGCGCGCTTTAATTGGGTGGGAAGAGTGTATGCCTCGTCGGGTATCAGAGGCTATTCTGGGGCAGCGAGAGCACACGTTATGCTCTCGAGAAGCGAGTAAAGTAAAACAAACCAGCAAAAAGGCGTGGATGGAGAGGGGAGAGCATTGCTTGCTCTGTTTGCAGATTTCGATAGCGTGTACACGCGCGTACGCGGTGGATACGCGATATGAAGAGATTTGCCGTTGTGTATGCGAGAGAAGAATAAGGTGCTGCTTTTTTTAACGTTCGAAGACTCGGAAATTTCCCTATAGTTTATATGCGGAAGTTGGCGCGAAAAACAAAGTGGTACTGGGATTATTCCCGCGGAATTTCTCAGCGGTGGGGGTTCGCCCAAAAATAATGCAAATTGTGCATTAGATTATTTTTTTATGTCTTAGTGAACGCTTTATGAAATTTGGGAGCGTTGGATGAAAACTTCAGTGAGGTACCAGCTTGCGGGCACATACAGGGTGTTTTTACTTTTTAGGCTTTACAAATTGTTAAGAAAAAAGGAATAAAAAAAAAAAAAAGGTCGTGGAAGGTACAGTTCTGGGGACATAATATAGGCGACTAATCGTCACGACAATTCGGATAATTAATTAAAATATGTTAATTAACTTTTTCTTTAGTTGGTGAAAATAAACGTATGTTTCCAATTAGAGACCCGCTGAGCGCCGTCGTCGAAAACCGCTAAACCAGTCAATTTGAGAGATACTCGGAGCTCGTAGGAAGCGCGCTAAAGTTTAGCACTCGTGCAGCGGTTGCACCGGCTGGCGGGGCGAAAAGTGCGGGGATGATCCGCGCGTCTTCGTCACCCCCAACTTCGCGCCCGTTGCACGAGTGTGGTATACAGCTCTAGGGCTAGTTCCAAAGCGATACAAAGATCGGAGAGAAACGTACGAAAATCGCTTCTTTGCAATCTCCGTACAACTCAGTTTTTTTCTTCTTTTTTTTAGTAACGTGCGGCTATTTTTGCACGTTTCTATTTCCGCTTGACTTTTGGTATATTAATTAATTACTTCGGACATGTGTGTATTGTACCCAAACTTGCTAGAATAGTAGACCTGTGTGACTTTGAAAGCCGCGGTTCCACTGCTCATACAACAAACAAAGCACACGCTGTTCGCTGCACAGACATGACGAGACGAGGAACATCTGCCGGCACGCCTCAAGAGTGTTCCGAGCATGTTTGCTTCATCCGTTCACATACTACCAACATGTCTGCAGACCGTGTTTTGTATGCTGCGCATAGCAGTGTGACCGCGACTTGAGGCCGGTTCAGAGATTCGCGTTTGAGTGCGACCGACTGCGAGATGGTTGCTATGGCAACCGAGGTCCGCCGCGCAACGCGCCGCAGTGGGACGCAAAAGGTGTCGTAGAACGCGGGCGGTCGGTCGAGCTCAAACGCGCATATTCTGAACTGTACTCCGTTCGCCGTTAATTAAGCTGACAGTGCGGTGCGAGCTGTGTATAGCTCTCGCCGGACCAGCGACACTGCCTATAGGAAGTATTCACTGGACGCCATATTTGTGGGTACTGTTTAGAGCGCATGCTCAGAACGAGCTCGCATCAATATGCTGCTAAGACCGGCACTCTTGATGGTGCGGAATGCACGTTGCAGAAGAACTGTGGAAGCTCGCCATCAGCACGCGCTCAGCATTCGCGCACACAGCTATGGCCGTCAGTGAATACTCTCTATACCTTTCGTCCCCTGACCCGGCTCTCTGCGCGTGGATGCGGGCGAGAGCGTGATCGGATGGCGAAAGAGAAACGTATGAGGCTGGTCCAAAAACCGCACTGTTAACTTCAAAGTGGCACTGAACCACTTTCTGCGGTAGTCTATTTATATATGGGCTCTAGGCATTCTAAGTAAGCGAACATTAGAATGATGCGTGGCCGAATTTTTCTATTGAGATCGGTATGAAAAGATCGATTACCTCGGAAGTATATATCGCGGACACCAGAGGGCGCCGTCGCACGAGGAAGGGCGGGGCTCTGCCCCTTTCTCGTCCAAAGGCGCCCTCTGGTGTCGATCTTTTGATACCGATTTTAATCGAGGAATCGGCCAGGCATAAACGTAATGTTTTTTTTCTTGTTTTTTTTTTTTGGTGCTTAGAGCCCATAGATGGAGTTACGAGTCTTATGACCATACATAGACTATCGCAGAAAGTGGTCTAGTGCCGCTTTATGGTGAACGTAATATACGGATAGAAAGTGGGGGAGACGAGGAGATGAGAGAGCGCAGGGACGTCAGAGAGCCGGGCTCTAGTTGGAATAAGTAGTGGGAATCTCTGCTCACTGTTCGAACACGTTCGCGTTCGAACAGTGAGTGGAGACAAAGGCTTTGAGTCTACTCACCCACGTTATTAGATCAACTCGGTTGTGGAAATTCCGCGGAGAGGTGTATACTTCCGTCCCCTTCATCCCCCGACAAGCCCACAGCCCACCCGCAGAGCCGTATATCGGGAGAGTTTGGCCAATGGGCGGAGCAAGGGCCGCCGCCAGCGCCGAATGTTCCCCCCGCGGTGAGAGCGTAAACTAAAAGTGCGACAGAGCGTCGACTAATCAGCAGACCGCGACGTCACAGTATTGGAAACGACATTTAAGGCGCGAAATAGAAGCGTTCAATCTCGCCGTCTCGGTGACAATGGCGTCAATAGTATATCAGCAGCAATGATCGCAACTGCGCAGTTGGCCCTGATTTGGAGCGCACGTTCGTTTGGTCTACCGCTGAACATCGACGTGACGAAAACATCACATGCGCCAAGTTTTGAGTCACCGAGAGTTATAGTTTTTTGCTGTAGCGACGCTAAAACGGCTGAAATTCGTCGAGTCGCATTTTTAGAGCCCACGACCACCCCTAAAGGCTGTTTCGCGGCCTGTGGTTGGCCACGAGATGCTCGCCTGTTCAAACCAATGAATGGCCAAACTCTCCCAATAAACGGCTCTGCGAACGACGGGAGGCGGACCTTGGAGGGCAGTTCTGTAACTGAGGTAATTTGATAACGTTGCTCACCAGTAATCGTCCCAAACAGAGCTCGGTGCTCCGACGGCCCTGCACGCTCTCAGCGCAGTGTTCGGTTGTTGACGTGTGGTCGCCCTTTGTCCCTCCCCCGCGGCGCAGCCAAGATGCAGAAACAGAGCGGTGTGGGCCGCTTGCTAGTTGTGGTTGTAGAAGGACGTAACCTGAGGAACGGGTCTCCCCAGGGTAAGACCGCTTTGGGACGCTCGCCCGAGCCCCCGGTGGTGGCCACCGGATGCATGCGGTCCTAACTCGTGCCTGCCGAGGTGAAGTGCACGTCTTAACATCGCGCGCCGTGATTGTGCTGGTACGAGGGGAGGCATTTTGGGCGTCGTCGACGTGAGGCTGAGCTGTCTCTTTATACGATCCCAGTTGTAACCTCCTAGCAGGTTCTTCGTTGCCGCAATCGACCCTTTGTAAAACCCCTTGAGGCTTTGGTTTTTGGTTTTTGGTTTCTAGGCTACGTGGCGCAAGCTACCGTCCGTTATTAAGGTACGGAGGTCAGCGTCCATCTTTCCATTGGGCACGACGGGTGGGATTGGATCCGTGTTTTCGCCGAACGCTGACGCAGACCTCGTGTCCAATAGGGTACCTGCCCGAACAATGGCGAACTCAGATGACTGGTGCAGCGGCTACTAGATGGCGCGCACTTTTGAAAAGGGTTTATTCTAGACACCGAGGGCGCGCACTTTTGGAAAGGGTTTATTGTAGATACCGAGAGGATTAGTACGGCAGGGAGGTCCTTCAGTTGAGCTTCGAGCGTATACGCGCAGCCAGAGCACGACGGAGGGCAGCGAGCGCGCTCTGCAGACCGCGGGCAGCACATAGCCAGTAAGTTAATTGCTACAGAGCGGAGTATAGTAGGACATCAATATTTGTGGGTCGAGTATTGAAGGTTGAACCGCAGAAACCGTAAGCTGCACCGTTTCAGTAGATCGATTAAGTTCAGACCGTTCGCCTACTTGGCTGCGCTTGATAAAAGTCGCATCTCTATCGAACCATTTCAAAATCATGATCGTTCCATTGGGTTTCGTTCATTTGAGGGGTCACTTAACACCTTGCCTCGAGCCGATTATACTCGTATCTGAAACCCCGAAGTCTGAACGCGGTTTTGACAGCTCCGTCGACGGCCGAAGATGCTTCCCTTCGAGCGTTCGCCGCGCATTGGTGAGCGTCCGCATGTTGTGGCTGACCCGTGCATGCGCGCGCGTGTCTCGTGCAGTGCACCGCAGACCTGCGGAGGGAAAACTAAGGGTAGTTGTAATGCAAGCATGCGATCTCGTCTCGATGGACCGACCAGGTACGGGCTCCTCTTGTCTCATCTTGCGTTAGATGCATGCGCTGGGGAGATGCGCTTCTAGACCTTGGCGAACAATTTGTTGCGGCCAGCGTAACTCTTGGGTCGTATACCGCCCTCTTGCGACAGGGTAAATGTCGTACTCCTCTCCTCCGTGCTGTTGAAATGCAGCCTTGGAAGGAAAATAACTCTTTTCGCTTTCTCTTTTTTTTTTTTGTTTTTTTTTTTTTGTTCGGGGGATAACTAAAAAGACACGTAAGGTCACCCTTTGCCCATCTGACGTCAGGTGACTTTACCACGTGACTCGTGTGAACGGACTCTCCGGTCACAGCCGTTTTACGCGAGCCTAAACATTTTGAAAATACATTTTACAAATACTTGAATTGTTTTTTTAATTTTTTATATTTTACTTTGCAACGTAGAAGAACGATTCAACATGGCACACGTGTCTGACGTGTCGGGAGATCAACTGATGAAAAGTAAATTAGCAACTGGAAGACTAGCCAGTTACCTTATTTACCTGAAAAATGAAAAAAAAAAAAAAGGGTTTTATTATGTCGTAAGTTTGTATTCACCGTTACGTGGGGCGCAGCAGATCGGTCGATCGTGCCGCCCCCTGCAGAAGCGCATCTTCCCAATACCAGGGGGTCAGCAGCGCGAATTAGTCTCTAACTCGCATGCGTATGTCTTTGCGTGTAGTTGTTGTCCATGTTAACTTGTGTGCATGAAGAGCGCGCCGTTTGGGAAGAGGCATTTTTCGGTGGGGAAACTTTGTTTCGCTTAGTGTGGCCTGCTTTCGTGCCTGCTTGTTTTGGTTTGTTACGGCTTTATCGCTTAATAGGACCACAGAAAAACCTAAAAGGAAATTTGTCTTTTCGAGATATCGCTTATTGCGTGCGCACATTTTTGCGTTCTGCCACCCAGGTACGAGAAACACGAAGAGTGGCGTGTCCTTGTGTTGACGACTGCAGACACACACGGCACCGAATCCCAAAAGTTGCGTTTGTCGGAACGGCTTGTGTGCACGTTTGTGCGCGACTCTCGAGACGACTTCCTTTGTCGTGATGCCCGATTGCGTTGTCGGGGCACGACAAAGCAGCGATGGTAGGCGCGGTAATCTTTTATATACTGCCTTAGCGCAATGGGAAAGTCGTTTACGCCAGCCCCATTGAGAAACTCGCTCTTACGGTGTCTAATATTTTCTTCTTATAAGCGCACGAGCCCCTTGCCAAATACTTTACTAGGGGAATACAAGACACTCCCCTCATTTGCATTACACAGAACGAGGGTCGCACCATAAACCACCCCTGGTGGAGTGATTTATTTGGGGACGCCTCTCTTCCCTACCCGCCTCCTCTCGCCGCCAGAGCACGTGGAGGTTCAAGGCTACCATGGTGGCTTTCACCTGAAGCTGAGCAAAAAGAGGATTTTTTCTTTTTGCTACAGTTGAAGAGAAATTTACAGGAACAAACAACGTCTGTACCTCTTCAAATGTAAAAAAAAAAAAAAAAAAAAAAAAAAAAAAAAAAAAAAAAGAAAGCTATAGTTTTGGGGTAAAGTTATCGTGGTAAACTTCCACCAGCTCGCCTGTGCACTGACCGTAATCACGTGAAGCCGACGCTTCGGAGTGGGTTGCGGTTGACGGGGTCGCAGATGCGCGAAGACGGTACCGCTGCTGCCACCGCCACGCGTGTTTCCGCAGATCTTCGTTGTCGACTTTTTCTACGTATTCTCGGGGAGTGTCCTATAATTCCCCTAGTAAAGGATTTTCCCTTGCCTAGCATTTTCGTTTAGTGCTTGTAAGTACGCGGCAAGCCACCGCCGCAGGTACGCAGTCATTGCCCATAACTGCAGCCACTAAGTAGGGAGTTTTAGTAGGTCGTTCCGATGACTCCGATAACGATACCCGATAAGGATATGTGATGCATGCGCATATAGCGAAGGTGGAGTATCGGGTATCATTATCGATCGGAACGTTCTACTACAACCCCTTGAATTTTTTTTGTGGCAGCCGCCATTTTGGTGCCTGGTAGGGTTCGAAGATGCATCTACATACGATATCAGGAAGTTTTGCTTAAATCGTTTTGCTCTATCGCTGGCAGTTCTCCCGTTTAGGTGGAAGGGGAAAACGTTTCCTGCAATATACGATAAAACTTAAGATGGCTTGCAACACGTTTACGCAAGATGGCCGAAGTACCGTTAGTCTTAAGTGTAGCTTATTCGGCGGTTCTAACCGTAACTAACGATTACTTTACCCTGACTTAAGGAGTAAGGGTTCAAATTCTATTCTGGCAGCCGTGACGGCCACACAATCGAGCTACCAGAATGACGATCCGGACAAATATGATGTCGTATCTGAAATTACTTTCGTTCTCCGACGTCTTTCCTCCGCGCTCCTCAGGGCAGATCGATTCGTACTGCGAGGTGAACATGGCCTCCCAGGAGCACAAGACGCACGTGGTGTCGAGTACCACTAGCCCCCAGTGGAACACGTCCATGCAGTTCCTGGTCAGGGACCTCCGGCAAGACGTCCTCTGCGTCACCGTCTTCAACAAGGAGCTCTTTTCGCCCAACGGTGAGGGCCGCGAGGGACTGCGTGCGGGAGATATGGCCTGCGGTTTGGGTATATACGCGGTGCTGGAAGAAAGACGTCTCGGACTGGCGCGTCGTTTTGCGTCCCGTCCCGCCCATGCATCAAAATACGTCACAGATGTGTCACGCTGTCGGAGGTCGCGATCCTGGCGGTTGGTGGTACAAGTCCCGGCAAGAAGTGAGCGAACGCGAGATGTCGCTGTCGTCGCGGCGTCCCAACTTCTGACTGGCGAAGCTTCTGTGAACTGTCGCTGTAAAGAGCGACCTGCAGCAGAACAGGCGTCTGCCACATCAACCACCGCTGCTGGGACACCGCCAGGATCGCGACCGGCGACAACATGACACTTGTATGACGTCATCAGGTGGAAATTGAAGGACCCCTCTTTAGTACGCGGTAAAAACTTTAATCGGAGACGCGTTCCAGGCGCCGCAGTTTGGACACGAGGCTGGACCATACGTGAAGGCACCCTACCTGCAATAAACGTTATATGCATAAAAAAAATGTATTACAGGAGGACTCTGCGCCTTTAGGAGTAAAACTCGATAGCTAAACATATAAATCTCCGCTCGTTCCCCGGTCGTGCAAGCCTGTCAGCGTGGCGTAGCATCGGGAATTTGCTGTTTTTATTTGGTGTTCGGCGTGGGAAAGAGCAAGTCGATCAAATCTCTTTTATCGGGTCAAGTCCGGCGGTCTCCGTCTTTCGCATTTGTTTATTAGACAGCTGGTCAACAGGTTGTTTTTTTTTCTTCGAGACCAGAGAGACTCTTTTTTACGCACTGTAATTCGGGTAAGGCTGCGCAATCTGCTGCCCGAGTTTATAGATAGCGACAGGCGATGAAATCAGCTTTGGTGTCCAGGGTTATTTGAAGGAAGTTATCGGGGGGCCTATCGGTTTTTGGCAACATGTTTTTCATTGAGTATTTGTCTGGCGTTTCACGCAAGTGGTTGTCGAAAGACCTAATCGGAGTTGCTTTTTCCCACACCCTTGTATCGATCGCTGTACAGCGAAGGCATAGGGAAGGATGTGCTAAAACGAGTCAAGAAAATGGTAATTTCCGCGTGCAGTAAAACATTTTTCTACAGTTTACATAGCGGATGGCTTCCAGTAAAAGCTTGGTTAGTTGAAAATGGCATACCAGTAGCACGGTCAGACAACTGCTTATTGTGCAGCGTCAGGAACCATTGAACATGTGTTCCTGGACTGTTGGGACGCAGTGATTTGTTTAATACGTCGTTCAAAGGACCATAAGAAAAAATATCTCCCTTTAACGTCCCACGGCATTCGGTTCTTGTCTGTAGCAGATGGTACTATACCTTATGATATGTTGATGCTTATGGGACTGCACATAGTATATGCCATCAGCCAGGAAGGCTGATCATTTTACCCTTTTAGTCTGCCTCAATAACTATGTATGCCGTCAGTGACAAACAAGCATTATAAAAATTAAAATAAACTGTCTGCGTATCTGAGTTGGTGGCGCGTCTGGTCGCAACCGTAGGGTCGTGGGTTCGAATCACGCTTCCGCCTAAAATTCTTCTATCTTTTTTTTTTCTTTAAAGCAAATGAATTACTTTTTTTAAATTGAAATCATTTGAGACAAGCTTCGACCTTTCAATCGCATTACATGTCATCAGAGCCGTGTTAGACAGACTTTGGTCAATGGGAAGAGCAGGCAGAGTCAGGGCGTGCACCAGGCGCAGATAGAGGGTTTGGCATATGCTCTGCTCATCAACCAGAAGCCGAAAGGAATCCCCTTGCGGTGGTAGCGAGATACAGTTTTAATAAGAGCACAAGGGTTAAATGCAGTAACCCTTTATGGTTGAAAATAGGGTGCACGTGATGTTTCGATCATGATCATGCAGAAAGATGTAAGAAACGAACGTGTCGCTCGAACTGTGTTTTGCTCGGACAGAGTGTTACCGCTCAAACGTCAAATTCCCGGCCCTCGGCGCCTGGCGTACGGATTATGTCCACCGTTCCGCTAGTTGCGCTCTTCCACCATGATTTTGGATGACCATGATTGAAACGTCACGTGCGTCATATTTGCAGTCACCGACACTTACTTCGACACACTTATTAATTTCGTTTTTTTACGACCACCGCCAGGGTATTATTTCCGGCTTCTGGTTGGCCACAGTCGAATTTGTGAAGACACCCTGGAACACGCCTAGCCATTTTCGACCAATGGCGCTTCCTCATTTGCCTCCTATACTTCCCAACGAATGGCCAAACTCTCTCCATATACGGCTCTGCAAGTCATGTTTTAATCACTTTCATTCCACGCGTGACGTCACGTTTCACGTGAGCGTTATTTGAAATTCCCGCGCGAGGTCATGTGGCTGTGACGTCATGGTCCTGTCGACCAATCAGAATTTTCCCGTCCCATTGACGCCGACGCCGGCTTTTCTGCGTCACGAGCTCCTTAGAGGGACACGGACAGTGTATTTATGCTCGCGAAGGTTTTTATTTGTACGTGACACATGAGAGCCCAACTGCCCAGAACACCTATTTGCGGCTCGAAATTCGTTTCCTCTCCGCCCGAAAACCGCCGATCGAGAACTGGTCTATTTTAGTCGCGCTCACTCTCTTTTCTGTGGTCACGCGCCGTCTTGTATGGTTTAGACACAACCACCAAATATTAACAAAGTCGTGGGTCATCGAAGGCACGAACTCAATCTTAAAAATAGAAAAACAAATATGATACCCTTTTTTTGTGTGTGATTTCTAAAAAACTGCAAATACGTTGATTGAAAAAAAAAAAAAAAAAATTGCACAGTTACGTGACTTTCGGCAACACTCTCCTCCTCTATATTTCCTCTTCCTCCCCAGTCCAGTTTCGGTTCCTAGCAGTTGCATTTTTTTTTTAAATTGAAAGTATACGTGACGCTGTAGCAAAATATTGATTGGGTATAGTCTTCCGATACCGTTATAAATCGCATGACAAGAAATTAAAAAAAAAAAAAAAAATTGGGGAGGTGCCAGTGTCTCCAGTGATGTGATTGCTGCGCCATTTGCGCCAAACTGCGCAAATGTGCTTACCCTGCTACATCCTGCTACATTTTACAAAAATGTGAGGAATTTGCGCCAACGTTGCGCCAAAACTTAATTTCACTACTGAAAATATAACAGATCGGGCCTCTCTGCCCGGCCGGACCGTTATGATATGCTTATGCGAGTACTCAGAACTTTTGACTATCGTCCCGAATAAAGTACTATTCGATCGCATTTCGTATGAAATGCTGACAGTATTTGGAAGTTCCGTAATAATTCTCATGTTCGTCGTCTGTTCTGCTGGAGGGTTAGTTAGTCTCGTTGAGTGCGCTTCTCCTCGCACACTGGTGTACTGCAGAGAAGCGAAAACCGCAAAGTAAGAAGATTTTGACGAGCGTGTGTGAACAGATGTAACAGTAAGGAAGCACAAAACGAGCAGGAGGACGAAAACAGACATGTACATGCTTTTATGGGGTGCATGTCTGTTTTCGTCCTCCTGTTCGTTTTGTGCTTTTTTACTGTTACCTCAAAGTAAGCATCGCGATTTTGCGTGTCTTGCTTCGCCACAGCGTACCCCCGTGCTAAGGGGAAAGCACTCCTCCAGAGCGAGACGCATCACGATTTCGGCTCGTATAAATGAAAGACTACGATATCCTCATAGACTACGATATCCTGGCAGTACCGTTTTCCAAATCGAGACTTAGCAAGGATACTTTGGTATTGCATGGACGTTTATATGCGCTCTTTCGTATGTTTATTTATTTATGCTAAATCATTTATTTGGCTATCACTTTTATACAGATGTGAGTAAATTAGAACTAAATTGCCAGGAGCAGTGGATGGAAGCTCGGGAAGAACCTTAATGAATTCGGCGGGATTGTTTTTAAGTTTTTGTTCACATGCCGTTTTTCTTATGAAGTTCTACACATAAAATGTAATTGACGATCATTATCAAATGACAAGTGCTTTGTTCTTTATCTGAATTAAGAATTGCTGTTTTATTACAACCTTTAGAACTTGAAGGAAACATTAATTTATCGGCTTAATATTATTGTATTATTTCACTGGCATTCAGTACCTAAAATAACCATTCACTGCAGTTTGTCTGTCCTTCATCACTTACCATCTCACCCTGTCATGGTGCTTCTCCACGCAACTAAACGCTAGTTTTGTGTTTGAAGGACTCACTCCTGCTTTGCAAGTGATGATAAAGAGTTGCACGTCAGTGAAAGTCAATTGCCTTTTAGTTGGACACGCCGACACATTAATCTTGACATAATGTCTGCATTAGTATGAATACGAATGATGCTACAAGAGTTATTTTTGCTGCTCCAAAAGTGACTTTTGGCTGCTCCAAGAGCTGCTCCAAAATGACTCGGACCAATCACATCGCTGTGTCTCTTTAACGGTATCGCGTTATAACGTCTCTTACGGCTAAGTATGTTTGACACACTGGAATGAACGTAGTATTATCTTTGTTTTGCACCGAGCAAATTTTCGAGAAGGAGTTGCGAGAGTTTTTCTCCTGTATTGCAGTGAAGTTGAAGCACCAAAACAAAGAGCCAGTATTTTGAATCGAGCAATAGAAAATGCCACCAATTATTCCAAAAATACAACCATAAATATATATATATATCCCGTTTATTTTGTTTTTTTAGTGGTGGAGTCGTCGTGCGGGCTTCGTTTGTCGCACATTCTTAAATGTTATTCTTTGTTTCGGGGAATAACAATAGTCGTACACTATGCAAGTGTGTTGTGAAAAGAAAGGTTTTCGTTGACACCAGTATAGCTCGCAGCAAAATAAAACGACAAATGCCGTCTAATTGGTTTTGAGCGACGTATTGAAATGAAATATTGAACGATAGCAACGAAAAATTTTCAGTTTTTTAGTACTGTAAGGAGATGTCTTGAAGCGATCTTCAATGTGACAGCACAAACTCCCGATATTAGTAACAATATATATTTAAAAAAAAAAAAGGCAACATTTTTTAATGTTTTTGGGTACATTGTCGAGGCTAATCTGTTGATCCGAATAAGTATCGATACCATCTACTATTAAGCGCATTTGTCAGGCGGTTATCGGCTACCGGTATCGGAGCTATCAAACAGCTTCCCCGACCCCCGGGCGATCGGAGCCCGAGGATTAGGAAGGAAGTTCACTCGAGGCAAACGCGAGCTAAACGGGGACACCGGCCGGGTAAATGTTTCCGTTCCCGAGGGGGAAAAGGTATACGACAGGAGACCAGACATAGAACAGGAAGGAAATGTTGTTGCGTCTCTGTCATCGGACCTGTACCCGCGTCGCGCGGACCGTTCGGGCCGCCGCCGCCGCCGCCGCCGCCGGACGCGCCGAGCTTGACTCGGGGGATGCGCCCGCTCCGCTGCAGTTCTCTTCTTCCTGCGGTGGTCCTTGAGCCCGTAGACGACGCGGGACGTAGCGACACCACCTAGAAGAAAAGGCCTGCTCATGACATCATTGTAGATCTCCTACGAAGCGGCATGCTGGAGCTCGGCTATGCGGACTGCAAGTTTGTCTGCTTCTTGAACGTCAGAACGCCCAGCTCTTATTGGCTGATTGAAAAAAAAAAAAAAATAGTGGGTAGATATTAAGGCACTTTACTCCGTCTCACTAAGACCGTGCAGTGCAACCAAAGCTACAGGGGAGAGAGTGTATCCCAACCTGTTCAAGAGAAGGGAAACGATGAACGGGGGAATCCCAGCCCTTCTTTCCTGTTCCTCCTTTCCCTCCTCTTGAACAGGTTGGCATACGCTCTCTCCCCTGTAGCTTTGGCTTCACTGCACGGGTGACGCGCTGGCGGCGGAGCTGCGTGGACATAGAGTTATATAGGGTTAATATAATAATACAGAGGGAAAGATCCCAAGCGTTTTTGGACCGTTTCGGAAAGGCGGGACATAAACGCGGAAAATGGTGGTCCTAATGAGACCATATATTGCTGGCGAATCATTGATTTACACAAATATGCAGGTAAACACCACTTGCAAAGTTTATATCTATTTTTTTTTTTTTTTTTCGCAAAAATCGGCATCGCGGTGTATAAAACTAAATAAAGTTAACGCGTACTCGACCGATTTCAACTCGTCGCGGCAAAACGAGCACGCCTCGCCGTATCGCCTGATTTCTCTTTCTGCTTTTCCGTCGCTCTCTTTCTCGTTTCTTCTCTCGGGATCGCCGATGTAAGCACTTGCGATGGGCTGCGTTCTGCTCCCGTCTTTACTGCTTGTCCCCTTTAGCGATGACGTGAGACAAAGCCTCGTCTTGTAGGTGGAATTAAGACGACGCGGGGCGTATATATCCTCGGAGGCCCCAGCGTCGCTCGTCTGGCGACGAAGAAAGCGGAGAAACGACTCCGATAGCGGCAAATGAATAGCTTGCGGGACGGGAATAGAGTTGATGGTCGGGACGCACGGCGCGGTCTTCTTCTCTGAACACCTTTTTTTTTTTCGATGGCCACCCTAGATGGACGCCCGCTGGATAGCTGCGCACGCGAGGGGGCGCGGCAATGCCCGCCGATGTCCGCGGAGGAAAAAAAAAAAATAAAATCTGTAGCCGCAGGCTTCGGAACGCGATGGTGTTCTGAGGAAATGACAACCAAGTTTCGAAGGTGATTGCATATCGGGGTCAGACTAAGCGATCGTGACTTTGTTTTTTTCTTCTGTTTCTTGACTTTTTATTAACTAGGATCGGTGACGACAAATAACCCAGTAGAACAAGCTAAGCCTGTAGCACGCGCTTGTTGCCTTCCGCCGTGCTTTGGTTGCGCGTGCGACGAAGCCTTATTAAAGGCAAAAAGCTCGCGCTGGAGGCGGACCATTATTGGGTTCTAATTTGTCACCGACCCCATAGAAGTTCTGCTTGTGTACAACCTAGATCGGACTATTCAAGGGCTTCCTATTCCTATCTTTCTCCCCACTCACCCCCACTCTTCTCCCCTCACCCTACCCCAAGAGTCAGTGACAAATGCGCCTAGCGCGCGTACAAAATTGACTCTATTCCCCCCCCATAATTTCCCTTCAACGCTTACCACAACAACAAAAACTGATCATTGAGCTTTTGTCAATTTTTATACTCTCCAACGTTTGGCCTATGTTTTCATCTTGCCGGCGAACTTCGCTTTAGAAGACAGGCATTCAAGTTCTGCGTTTTCGCTGACTTTAGAGAGCACCCGTAACTGAGTGGCATACTGCTTCGGTTGCTCTGTTTTGTCTCCGCAAAAATGTGTGTGTCCTTTTCTCGGTGGCGCCGCGGTACACCCGCTGAACTAAGCTCAACATTGTATTTTGCTACACGTGTATACGTAGATAGTTATAAGATGCTGAAATTAAAACACTGTCTAGGTAGCCCAAGCCTCCGCATGATTCGGAAGATTTAGCCACCTACCCATCTATCCATTCATGTTAATTGCGTTGCCTTTCTTACGAAGTCATTGCCACGAACGACGGGGCTCGTCTATATCTTCTGTGCCTCTGTCGCCACTGCATGTCTCTTGTCTCATTGTTCATTTATCCGTCCTTGTATTTTAATTTGTCAGGTCGTTTCTCGTTATAATTTCGTTGTGTTTTGTGGCAAATTCGAGCTTTTATAAAAATAGGCTCGTAGTTTTAATCACGTTCTGACCACAAACGAACCCCTCGGTAGTAGAATGACGCTGATTTTGAGGCTAAGAAGTCATCAATTCGTTTTGTAAAGATCACTGAGATTGCTGAAATTGGTGGAGGGTTGACAAGGCAACCCATGTTGCATTAAGCGGAGCGAGCGATAACCTTGGAAAACTTAGACATAGCCATCCCATCTATGTATGCAGTATTACTTGATCTATAATAAACAATGTCGACGGTTGACTTTTTTCGGGTTCGTTTTGAATCGAGTTTAAACAACGACTGAAACTCTTATCTCCTTGCAGACCGTGTTACAAGTAGACAGCGTGCCGAATTTCTAATATTAATTTGGCACGTCAATTAGATATTGCGAACGTGCTCGTTTGGCCTATACCTCTTCGTTTCAACCAAACCTTGATTCAATGTCCATGATCCATCCATTGTTTGGCAAGTATAGTCCAGAGTGCAAAAGCTCAAGGGTGAAGGAGAGACAAAATAATCGAGGATGATGTCGACGGGAGTTAATAATAAATGTTATAATGCTATTTTTTGTGATTCCGAGCTGTATCAGGAGGCTCTCAGTTAAAGCGCTCCCGAGCCGTGATTACAATGTCGAAAATATTCCCTGGAGAAGGGGAACAAGAGGGACAAAGGAGAAACACAAATCTCTGAACACAGCTAAGTGACTGGTGCGCGACCGAAAAAATCCCCCTGGTCCGGGTATCGAACCCGCGACCTCTCCATTTAAGTTGACGGATGTGTAAACTCCATGATCTCACGGCCAGGATGGCTCTACGTGTGGCTTCCTCAAAGCGGTTCGGGATGTTGACATCACGTCCAACCTGCGGGTCGCGCTTCGGAATTCTAGTGGCGGGGGTGCAAAAGCGAGCGTCGAATGGTGCGCGTCTTTTATAACGCAGCGTAACTCGTAAGGTCATGCGTATACCAGGAAACTTTTGGAGGAGCCGCAAAAGTGCGCGGGCAGGAAACGCCGAACTTGCTTCGTTGACGGGGGTTTCCCCCGCGCGTGTTTTCTTCTTCTTCCGCGTGAATGGCGCAGACTTCTTGGGCCGCACCGAGGTCCGGGTGTGGGACATCGCGCAGGAGACGCGAGAGAGCCACGGGCCAATCACCAAGCAGCTCCGGCTCTACGAGGTGGACCAAGGAGAAGTGCTCATCAGGCTGGACCTGCAGATCTTCGAGTGACGGCTCGAGCCGCCGCCGCCGCCACCACCATTCACTAGTCCCCCCGAGGCATTCCGTCATATCATATCTCTATATAGGGTGTTTTCATGAGTTTATTATCGTTTTGTGGATTGCAGCGATTGGCTCTGCCAATTGCATTGCGGGAAAGGGGAGGGAAGGGGGCGCTCCAGGTGTCTGAAGAGTGTGTGTACGTATGTGAGGGTGTGGTGTGAATCCCTGGAATGCTGGCGTTTGGCACGCACTACCGGACCAGGCCGTAACGACGAAATGGGGGCGAAATTACATCGGTGGAAACACCCTATGTACACCCGTGCATCGTCTTTTCTTTGCACGCGCACATCTTGTTCTTAGCGTTTCTATGCCTTCTGTACCTTGCCTTGTTATCTACCTCCTTTGTTCGTTTGTTTTTAATTCCGTAAAATGTTCACCAATCACGCGGAGAGATGGTGGCGCAAGATTATTTTTTTTAGAGTGTGATCTCGAATAAAACGACGTCTGTTGCGGAACACTGTGTTGTTTTGGATTCTTGTAAGCTAAGTTTGTGGTCGGTTTGTACACCCGTGAGTGATATGAAGATGAACAGCCCTCTTCTTGTTGTTGACGCTCCTGCAAGTTTTGGAACAAGCTCTGTTCCAGAAAAGGGCTAGAACGCAAAGTTTAGACCCCCAAGCCACGTACCATTTGAGACGTTGAGAGTTAATATAGCTTTAGGGAGCCCTACAACAACCAAGAAACCAGGTAAGGTGTTCACCTTTATATTGCCGGCGGGTGTACATGCTGCAACAAGGTGTCTAGTGACCGGGAGTACCGGGAATTGTCAGGGAAATTTTAAATACCGGGAAAAATCAGGGAATTGTCAGGAATATTGTCAAAAAGTGAGCCCTGTCAGGGAAAATGAGCCGGAAACGCCATCGAGTTCGCTAAGCAATGGCTGGACAACTTGGGGCCGACAAATCCAGCCCAAGCCTTGGATTGGATTGAATTGGACTAAAGGCGCGACTCTAGGTTAGATCCAGTTAGAGCTACTAGGTTTAATAACAAGTGAGAAAGTCGCAGACCGTAATTTAATGTGTGCATCTGGCGGCTATGTGGCCATGCTGCCATTGGGTTATTGACGTTTGTGGTTGACCGTCGTGTTTTCATCGTGTTTCCGGAAGCGGCGTCTTCGCTGACGATGTGAGTGGCAAGAAAGTGCTCGTTTCTCCATGGTGGACGAACCCGAATATTTCGGAATATGCAAATTGGATTAACCCCATGCAAAATGATCCTCACAGTGCTCAATGCCGTGTGTTGTAATAATCTTATATACTTAACCGCCTCTACAGTGGTCAGGGAATTTCACCTGAAATAGTCAGGGAAAACCTGGAAAAGTCAAGGAATTTTAATATAATAATTTGATAGACACCCTGTACAATGGTGGAAAAGGTTGTGCCATAAAGATCGGTGGGTTGTGTTTGCCGTCGGAAAGAGGCTTTCGTCGCCACATCTGCTTTTGTGCATTTGACACGTACTTAGCGCGTTGAGGGATGGTGCACTACAATCTATTCATCTTTTTTCTTTATTATTATAATTTTATTGGAATTGAATACATTATTGCAAATATCCGTTCTTGCCGCTGCCATGTGTCCCTGCTCGTTCCGATAGAGAGACTCAACTCCAAACCTGAACTCTCGATCTACTTTTCTGAGAAGCAGGGACAAATGTGCCAAGGCACGAGACACACATCGCTCGGCCTCTGGAGAATTTTATCCAAGGAGCTTTATGAAAGAACGTCGGCGCACCACTGATCAATGAAGCAACGACCGAGGTAGTGTGGTCTTGTTGCTTTTCAAGTACCTTAGCCTCCTCTATACTCAGACTCACAAAACCTGGCAGTTCGACGACGGAGCCATAGGGTGCCCGGTCACAGGTTTGGAGCGCGGGGATCTGGTAGCACGGAGCGTCAAAAAGCCATTTCTCGGGGAATCTGGACGTCAGCCTACAGCTTTTGCAGCGGTGAGGACCTGAAACACATTTGTTCGCTCATAAGCTGTTTAGTATATATACAAAGTTACGCGATTTTTAGAGCTTTGGTAATTGGAGTAATCACTTTACGAATTTGTATCATTTTCATCTGGCGACCAGGCAACACTGCCCAAGTTAGTCACACCGCAAGCTGAGATCTAAATACATTCAACGAGATGGGGCCGATCAGAGTATATTAGTAGAAAAGTGAGTAAAGGAAACAGAGAGGAAATTGTGGAAAGAGAGAAGGCCGGGGAAATCAGCTTTAACAATATACAGGGTACGAAAACAAGAAATAAAGAAGGAACAGTTGTATGATCATTCATTGGGGAGCTCATTGCTGTTTGAAGCTAGAACGGGAGTGCTAAGAACGAAAACATATAGAACTAAATACCAAGAAACAGACCCTTTACGCGACATATGCAACCGCGAAAGGAAAACTATAGAACATGTAATTTTAAGGTGCACGGGGCTTGGTCCCACCCTCTTGGTGGGGATGACTACGGATTTGGAGGGGGCACTGGGATTTGCAGGCATGGATGGACGGATGGATAGAGAAAGAGTTGCGGTAACCAATAGGAGATTGGAAGATTGGTGGAAAAGATCTAGGGAGGGGTAAAAATACAGGTAAGATTAAGCAATGGAAACGCTTTAAAAAAAGGGGGGGGGCTTGTGTTAGAACAAATTTTAAAATAAAAGGGATGACGAAATGTTAGGCTAGGTGCCGCAAGCTGCCGTTCGTTGCAAAGGGTGTCCATCCACTATGGTTGTAGTTGCCCTAGTTGTTGGGTAGTGGGCTCAGTGGGCTCACCGTCCCATCTCCCCCGTGTATTGCGCTGAAGCAGCCGATGTCGAAAACGCCGGAGGCGCAGCAGTAGATTCCCCCTAGAACTTCTCTCGCCCGCTGCCCGCGATTAGTAAGAGCCGCCTGGCCGACCTGGTCGGGCCTATGCGCTTACAACGCCACCGCCGCGTCGACATCAAACGCGTCAGGTCGAACCGTCCCGTCAGCCAACAAGAACTCTCTCGGCCACTGTACCATGGTGTCCTTAAACCACGTGATCATAAACGCTCTCTCATTCTAGGCGCCCCCATGACCGCCCAAGCTCTGCTTGCCATGGTAGATCAAAACCGCTCACGTAACTCGGTAACCCGAACGCTATTCTCGCTCTCGCCCCCGCCCCTTGACCTTCTACCCTGCATGCGCCTGCGAGATATTCCCGGACGACGGTGACCACGGCGAGTTCGTCCGTAACTCGCCGTCGCTGAAGCTGGTCGCCAGCGGGTCGCAGTCAAAATGAACAGCTTCCAACATAGCAATCACTCTCATCGCTGCTACGATCAATGTCGAGCTCTTCGACAAGGCGAGCGATGCCGTAGACGTGATCGTCACGGACCGCATGCTCGAAACGCCGAAGTAAACGAGGAAGCTGAAGATCAAGACGCCAAGAGAGCCCAGTCTGTGAGTGCGTGCAAGGGGACGCCTCGCGGGAGGCTGGCTACGTAGCTGCAGCCTCCAGCTCCGCCCGGATCCGCCCCTCCCAGGGACCCGCTTATAAATCGATTTATCCACGAAACTATCGCGCTTTAAAGATGACCGTTCGGCCTTTGGCTGTAACTCCCACATTAGCATTTCCTCGTTCGCACGTCTTCCCTCTCTCTCTCTCTCAACTATCGCGCTATTTTCAAAACAAAGCAGGATGATAGAACATACAATGGGGTCCTAGCAGTAGTCTTATCCCATATTTTATTTTTGGCGTGTCATAAACCCTTTAAGGTTTTGCAGTAGGGTCAGAAAAAAAAAAAACGTTTACTTTTTTGCAGTCAGTTAAACGTATACTTTACCTATTTTAGTACAACTTGGCTATCACGCGGATCGTGAAAGTTGGTACCGTGGGTACAACGTCACTGCGCTGTACGTCGAACCCAAGTTTTGGGCTGTATTATATGTGACAAGGGGTGTAAGAATATGCCATTTCTTTTCCTGTGTCCTTGCTAACACAAGTGTGAACGCGCAGGCCCGCGCAGCCAAAGAACTGCGGAAGCCAGCAAGTTCGCGCTGAAGGCGGAACTTCTAGTTTCAGCCCTTGCTTTGAATGGACCTGCCTAGCACTCGCGCTCGCGCAGTGCAGTATTCTAGGCAAGGACAGCATGCTCGCGTTTCTAGGTTCGGTTTCGCTCAACCTTAAGGCTGGACACCATGGGGCGAATATGCTGCGAAAAATCTATGAATTTTGCCCGGCGGCTTTTGCTCTGCGCGTGGCATCCACAAAATGGCTTCTACGTCGCACGCAAAAGTGAGCGTTCTGTCGGGCGAAGTTCGTCAGTTATTCGTCGCACAATTCGCTCCATGGCGTTCAGCCTTTATGAACAAATATAGCCTTCTGCATTTCTGCTGTGGAAAGCTTTTTTTTTTTTTTTTTCAATTATGGTTATGCTTGAGCATTCGGTTCACCGGTGTCATGAATGGCTCTGACAGATACGCGGGTACAATCTCGACAGAAAATTTCCTGCCAATTACCCTGGTGCCAACTAAGAATCTATGAACTGCACTTCGTGCCAGGTCCCCCTGATTCATTAGGACAAGTAAAGCAGACGTAATTATTTGTGCGGTTTAACGTAGCTCCAGTCTTCATCTGTCTAGCCAGTCAAAACGTTGGAGGACCGGCTAAGGTGCCGAGCAGTTTTGCACAATATCCTTCAATGACTTCACGTATAGGTAGGGGCACTAATTTTCTTGTCAGTCACCGCAAATATGGTTAGCAGACGACGCATTTTTGCCGTCCGGCGGCACTCTTGCGAGGCGTTGAAGTGCCGAGCGACGGCACTCCATGCGCGCATTCAAGTGCCGTCCGAGGATGTAAAAGACAAGTAACGCTTATTCAGACCTGTGTTCTGTCGGCTGCTCGTCACCAATTTGTTGTATCATCAAACGCGAGCGAGGCAAGCACCAGGGGAGCGAGCGGCTTTATAACTCTACGCATAGCCTCCTCTATACTGAGAAAGCCTGGCAGATCGCCACGAGATGCGACCGCCGAAATGGAAAAGGTGGAGCGGCAGTCAACGGATAAGAAGAGAGCCACGTGACTGGCGCCCCACTGCGGCGAGACGCCGAAACGCAGCATCTCGCCGCTGCCGCGAGACGCTGCGGCGAGACCCGAGGACTCGAAGGTGTGTTTCGGGTCCTCGCCGCTGCAAAAGCTGTGCGCTGACGTCCAGGTTCCCCGAGAAATGGCTCTTTGATGCTCTGAGTCTGTGCTACCAGATCCTCGCGCTCCAAATCTGCGACCGGGCACTTTATATGGCTCCGTCGTCGAACCCAGTGAGTAAAGAGGAGGCTATGCTCTATGGCACTGCTGCTGCCGCAAAAAGATGCCGGATGCCTCCAACATGGCGCCAATGCACTGATGTCAGACGACAATTTTGATTTTGAGGCTAACCGGAAGTGACGTTAGGCGCAAAAAACCTATAGCAATAAAATTTGAGGCTTGGCAATGCCATTTA